AACACTAATGACAATATCCACAAACCAGGTCACTTATTCCTCACAAGTTCTCAAAAATGGGTGTAACAGAATTCTCCTACTTCACCGTTAAGCCTGGCAAGACGATCCCTGACGAAGATGGTCTCTACGACCGCGTCTTGGACCTCGCCGTCAGCCAACCCGGCGCCGGAAGTCTCTACTACGGCAGCTCAATTGAGAAGCCTGAGCAGGCGTGGTGTTTCCTCGATTGGGACTCGGTGGAGGAGCACCTAGCCTACCGCGACACCGAGTAAGTCTACCACCACGCTCACGACAATGAGAAGCATATCCTCCAATTCTATCGACAAGCACCTCACTTACTCACCCCCTTTCTCACAGTACCCATGCCCCCATAGGCAAAGCCCTGGGACCCTACCTAGACTGGACCCAAGGCTACATAAAACACATCACGCCCTCCGTCTGGCCACCTACGATTCTCTCCACAGCCCCCGTCACCGAAGTCCTCACCCTCTTCTTCCCGTCCGATCTCGAATCGGCCGCCAAGGAGGTCCTCACGGCGCAGCTGGAGAAGTTCAAGACCAAGGCACTCGATACGAGCCCCGATTTCCAGGGAATCAGTTACGGGTGGAGCGTCGAGAATGATGTCCCCGTCACGGATGAGGATGGGAAGACGGGCAATTTGCTTGCTGCGTTTATTGGGTGGCCGAGCGTGGATGCGCATTTGAAGTTTCGCGAGACGGAGCCGTTTAAGGAGAATATTGGGCTTCTGAGGGGGATGGAGGGGATTGTTAAGTTGGCGGTGTTTCATGTTAGCTGTGAGACCAAGCTTCCTCCCAAGAAGGAGTGAGGGGATAATTTGAAGCCTCGTAAAAAGGGGGTTGGTGTCCAGAAGAGAGATGTCTGTATGATGGTTACCGTTTTACGGGTTACCATTCTATGTGTATCTACACTTTACTTGCGAACAAAACAAGTTTACTTGCACACACTATCACCTTTGGACTCTAAAGCTCGTGCTCCGCATGTGGGATCGTGGATTTTCCGTTATGAGACGTCAGATTTCAAGGAGTTAACTAAGGTCGGCCACGTTTAACTCGTAGATACCGACTCATGTAGAGGTAGTCTAGCGTTGGACCGTAATCGCAAAGTGGTGCCAAATTGATCTGTAGTTTCCATAACTCAGAGACGAGGAAAAAAAAACCCCATGAGACGATGCGAGATTTCATTTTTCAAAAGGTTGTATTCGATGAGCTTGCAGCAACATATTCTTGATATCTGACAAGCCCAAGCTGCGATATCACTTTCTAGCGACTTAATAACCATTCAGCTCTGTCATATGTCTTAGCCCATAGCTTTGCGGCTGTTTCTGATTCCTGGCTAAGTATTAGCTTTGGCCTTTAACCCCAGTACATCGGTAGAGACAAAAGCTTACCGACGAGTTCCAATGTCTGAAACCCCTTAGTTGCACTTGTGGCGACGGTTGTAAGCGCCACCACTGATGCAAGTATCGACGTAGTATCCCGTGGGGCACTGGCAGGTGCCGGTCGAGGTAGGGCCGCCGGCATATGTGCACGACAGCGCGCAGCGGGATCCGCCGTCGCCGTTGGTGCCGGCCTTGCCGCACGAGGCGTAGCCGGAACCGCAGAGCTGGGATGGAAAGACGGTGTTGGCGTCGCCGGCGGGAATGGTACCCGCGGCAGCGAGGGAGAGCATCGCGCTCATGGCGAGGGTGAAGGTGGTGGAGAACTGCATTTTGGTGGATGAAGTTTGGTGGGTTTTGATGGAGGTTTGTAAAAGAAAGTGTGTAAGTTGAGTTTGTAGTGAGTGTAGTAGTGAATGTGTTGATGATGATGAGATTTGAGAACGACAGACAATGGCGGTGGTCTTTATAATCTGAGAAACCGAACGTCATGAGTCCTTGAAGCCCATGAGGTCAGGCAACATCTTCACAGCCCGGAGTCCCGGCATCGTCCCCAATCAATTTGACGATGCTAGGCTGTGCTGCGAGTCTGCTGCCCGCAACACATTACTCTTAGCGTCAATTTCCATACCGTCAGAGTGTTGATCACAAGGAGCGGTATGGGAACAAAATGACTACGAAATATCAGCCTTGACTTCGGTTTCTAGATGAAGTGGAGTTCGTAACTGTTGCTTAGCCCTACGGGGTCCCCGTACTTCGTACAGAACTCCCAAAAGAATTGACGATCTGCCCTCGGTCTCGGGAAGAAAAGAAGCAAAGACCCGTATCTCGGTTTTTAGAGTTGTGCACGTCCTACGCATTATATTAACTACGCTGGCTTGACGCTTGTGTTTAGCTGTTGGTTTATGACTCGAGTTTTACGGGGTTGTAAACTTTGCACACCGGGAAATGCGAAGATCGTCAACCCGATTATCCACCCTGGGCCCCTTTCTACAGCCGCGTATTCAACAACTGAAGTGTGCACCAGACAAACTGTCGCATGAGAGGAAGTGGCTCTTAGGTGGACACCTGTGAGCCTTTTTCAATTTGCTCTTCGGAGCAACTTTGCATCCCGCATCCGTTGATACAAAAGTCAGTTCTGTCCAAGTGGCCACAGCTCAGCAACGGCCGCCAACGCATTGAACTCAACGGAGATGTTGATGATAAGATCATGTAATCAACAAGAGGGGTTGAGAAGAAGAAGACATAATCGGGAATCATGGCCCATAGTATGTCAAGAAGCAGGAGCCAACAATCTTCCGACAGGGGTGTCGGAGTTTGGCATACATGTCCATATCCAAAGAACGCGTAGTCCTTTGCACGCCAAGAACGAGCATGTTCATCTGAAATTTGTTTATTTGGGGTATTAGCATCCCATCTCAAGCACGCTCTGTTTAAATCGCTAGTTGCGGTCTGGTGTTCAACACCATTCCAGCCACCCATACTCACTCCCTCTAATCAACAACAGTCCACGACCCAGAAGGGCCATACTCAATCTCATGCGACGTGACATCCTCGAAATCGAGAACCTTTAGCGAAGAATCATGAATCTTGTCTACCATGGCGCCCGTCTCCGCCGACGGCTGGAACCATACGGCCGCCAGCGGCTTAGGCGTCAGCGTCTCGGAGCCGGGCGGGAGCGGGCCAAACTGGCTGACGTGGACGGGGGCCTCGACGCCGTTGACGGTCTTGTAGATGACTGCTGATGCGGAGGAGGCGAGGTTCTTGAAGAGGAAGCCGTTGGCGGGGGCGGTTTCGTCCGTGGTTGTGACGCCGTCGGTCCAGTCTGGTGGGAGGGTCCAGGATTCGCCAAAGGTGATGGGTTGTTGGGTTGTTGCGACGTCGAATTTCACTGTTTGGATTGAGGTCCCTCGTTAGGAAATGGTCCTTACAAATTGAAGCAGGCCGATTGTAAGAGGAAAGGGGAAAGTAGGCAGAACGTACCTCCGCTTGAGAAGGCGCTCATTGTTCCTGCGATAGAGTAGTCGTCCACCCATGTGACTGACAAGTTTCGAGCGCAGACTATTGCATCATATTAGTCGAACTTCAACCTAGATATGAGGGAGAGTTCCCATTCAAGCTCGTACCTGAAGAATACCCGATGACGTTGAACTTGGTAGACCCAGGCCGCGCAGTCGTGTCGAAGCCGAAGCCAAGGCATAATCTAAGCCCACTGGCCTTGAACTTCTTGACCATGTTCTGGTCAATTTTAATGTTGAGCTTGTATTCAGTCATGATGGCTGTGAGCTTGAAAATATTGTAACAAGTATTTCGGATGTCGTTTGCCAAGGTAATCATCAACGGGAGACGAGGACTCCCTTTTGTACGCAGGCCCGGCATGTCTCCCCAACCCCTTATTTCTACAAGAACATCCTGATTCCGGCACAATGACATGCTTCGGGAGAGTCTCTCGATGTCTCATACACATAGAAACTGAGAACACACATACGAATGACGCATTTGTCTTGCCCACGTTCACAGCGGAGCCTCCTAGCTAGGCGAGTGCGAGAACTGCGAGTGCGATGTCTCACTCCGAGGCCGAAAGGGGAACAGCCCGCGGACCATCGTTCGCGCGAGTGTGTACGTTAACGGCGGCGTAGCGTCGCGTAGTGCAGCAATTGCCGTTCAAATACGATTGCGGACCGGCGCTAAGGTGGGTTCTCGCCAACGGTTCGTCTAAGTGGTGATGCGACGTGTGTGATGCGGCGCGTGTGATGAAGCGATTTCTCTGGTCGAATTCGTAAAAGGAGATGATGGACGTTTGCGAGGATCTTTATTTTCTTACCTCCGCCTTATCTGCGTTTTGCGAGACAAAGACATGTCTCTGGCGCGCCGTAGAAATCACGGTTTGGGTCGCAGTTGGACTGCATTGAGCAGGTTCGGAGTTCCGAATGCTTGGTTTGAGTTGCCACGCTATTTGAACGCCGAACGTGTTGAGACCTGAAGCCCGAATGATCGACATGTCGTGATGGAGGCCAAACCTCTGCTACTCAGTCGAAGTAGAAAGATAGTTGGGCACGATAGCTCCGCTGTCCGGGGTTGGAGGTCTTCTAGAATATGACAGGCATGTTGTCTATTCCCTGGCAGCTTTTGTAAGCATATGCCAGACTCTTTCGGTGTCAAAGACACGCAGTCTATTTCCCGAACGTGGTACAACATTTCGAATACATCTGAAATTCGTAAGATTGCGCATACAGTGTCCCATGAAGTTCATTCGCTGGATTTGGTGTGCTGTCAGAAGATGAGACGAGGTTGAATTGCCGGAAGTGAAGGCTTCACCGGATGCGGTTGGCCTGAGTCTCCGAAGGTCTGGATTCTTTGGCCTCAACCTGAACAGAATTCGACTATGTTGAATCTTTCACGTACTACTCAGCCTCATCGCGTTGAGCTTATTTTGAGGGTATCGACGTAAATGATGAACTTCATGATAAGACTTTGTAGTCATTATATATTCGAGAGTAGACGTTGACTCAATCTGGTCTACAGATGAGAATGACTCAGTTGAAGGCCACCAAGGTACGATGACGCTATTCACTCACAGATCCATTTGAGCTCAACCTTCGATCTATGCCTTTGATTTGATATACAGATGAAGAAAGACCACCGCGAGAAGTACAAGCAACAGCAGGCCAGCCCCATCAGACTGCACAGTCTCCTGGGGATCGACTTCCAAGTCTTCAAATTCCGGCAGAGAAGCCTCTACATCCCGATTCTTAGACCTCTTCAGCCTCTTCGAAGTATTCGAATCCGAACTAGTCAAGTCGTAGAGATCAATAAACCCAGAAACCTTCTTCAAGCTCTTAAACGAAGCTTTCCCGAGAACAGGAGGATCGCCACCACTCAGTCGATAAGGCCGCAATGCCTCAAGGTGAATAGAATGAATCTGTCGAATATTCACGTACGAGTTCTTCGCCAGCGGAGCACAGTTGTCGGGGAAGCAGAGCTGTGTGTCGGGCATGGACGGGTGCGTTGCGGGTTTGATGGGAACGTATTTGAGCCAGTGGGCCCAGTCTGGCGTGTGAGCTTGCGCGATGCCGCGGGAGCCCATGGACGTGATCTATAGGTGGAAGAGGGTCAGCACTATGTACGAGCAAGGTATACATAGGGGTTTGGGGCCGTTCAGAACGCGGGTGGGAGTGTAGCTTACCATGAATATCTCGACGAGTCCCTCGGGGGAAGGAATCCTGGACATGATGATCACAGGGTGGTTGTATGCGCCTTCTTGTAGGTTGGGGTCGATGGTGGCGGGTATGCGATGCTTGGGTGGGAGCCACATGATTTGACCAGGGAGGCTTTTGGTACTCTGTCGAGGTCTGGGGAGTTTTATCCCCTGTTTCCTGCTTGTCGGGGGCATCGTCGTTTGAGATACCCTGCTCGAGGCTGTAGATCTTTACAGGAGAAGAGAGGTAAGATTGATGAGGCCAATTCAGACAATCGAAGTGGAGTTGATGACAATGGCTCGAATGATGAAAGACAGGGAAATTTAATCAAGAAAGACATAAATACAATAGATTTCTTTACTGTACGGTTTTCTACCTCAAATCGTTTCACAGTTGAGTCTTCCGGACGATTCTAGAGGAAGCCGAGTTCATGCTTTCCGGCACCGTTGGTTGAACCCTGAACTGATGCCGAGCCGCCCAACTCAAGAACAGGGGTCAGCATCCAGGTCCTCAGGCTTCAAACGACTGCCTGCATCTGCGCGCTTGACGTGGCCGTTGGTCTTCGGGAATCAATCCTAATCATGGAACGGCCCGAACCTGGGGAGTCCGCACACCCTTCTCTCTGAGGAAAGACATTGTGGGCGTGAGCGCTACATTTTGTCCACCTATGCCTGATCAACAAGGTGAAAATCAAGGTGTGACTTGCTAATATAGCTTGCGATGATGTACATCTTAGAGGAACAAGATCTTGGTATTTTTTGCTAGAGACAATTTGATATTGCACGTAAACCCGAGTATCAAAGTACTGTTTCTTTTTAGAGGAAGAAAATGTTATTGTGCGCCTGCACAGCATACTTGATCACATGGAAGATTATGCAATGTGAGAGGATATTTGAAAAAAAAAAAAAATTTGCATGGGAGCGGCAGAGATGTGCCAAGCAAGCAAAGCGGCGTGGCAGCTCATCAAGAAGAATCGCACCTCGTCCTATCTTAAGAACCGATACTTACACAAAGCTATCCCCCCAAAACCAGTTCACAAGATAGAAGAAGTGACCACAAATTATGTTTCAACTTCCGGCATGCTTGTCTACCTCACTCTTGTCAGAATTGGGTGGGTGAGTGGGTGGTGCAGAAAAACACGACCAGGGTAGACTGTTCAAGCCAACAAAGAATCATTCACCTTCACCTTCACTCCCACTCACTCTAGTCACTCTTCTTCACTGAGACGGTAAAAGGCGCCTCTTTCAAAGCCCCTCGGACAACGTTCTACCAGAACACATCTTCTTTGTCACGCTCAAAAAAGAAACCAGAATGGTTCAAGCTTGCTCGAAGAAAAAGAGATCAAATGTGGACAAAACCTTTCATTGCCCGTTTCTGCCATGGCGTTAATCATTTCATGTTCTCTCCTGATATCCTTTCCTTCTTCAACGTCCTCCTCACACGTATCCTCGATCCCATACTCTTATCATCAGATTCAAGATCCCCTCTCAGAAGATATTGGTATCACCCAGACAAGACCCCCTTCCAACAATCCTCCAAAAACCAAGAACCATCAAACTCAGCCTCCTGCCCCAACCCTTCAAAGAAAATCGACGATGTGCTACAAAGTCCACACGCACACAATGTCGTGCGACATCCGCCCAACCATAACATCAACAGCAACCCTCTACATAAACCCCTACCAAACACCACCACGCTGTCCCTGCCGCCCCTCCTCCACCCCATCCTACTACCGCTCCTCCTCCTCAACACCAGCAAACTCCCGCCCCTGCCCCTCCCACGCCTGCTGCAGCCTCAACCTCATCCTCTACCGCTGCCCAGCCTACTGCCGCCATCCAACAGACTACCACCAATACACCGAAGTCTACTCCTCCACCAAAGAGTACCAATATCACTACCCTCAACCCACCTCCCGCGCAGCATACTCGTATTCATACTCCTACACAAACGACCACACATACCCGTCCTCGTCGCATTACCCCTGCACCACACCCTCGTCCCGCCCACGCTGGCGCACACTCCGCATCTTCGACCGAAACCCAGACTTCCACGCCCTCGAATCCCCCGACCTCCGCTTCGCAATCTCTGAACTAGTCGACATCGGCGGCATCCTCCTCCACGCAGAAACCGAGCTCGAAAAAGCCCGCCTCCGGCTCGATCGCGAACGTCGTCGGCACGATGCCGCGCACGGGCGGTCCTGTGAGCGCCAGCACCAGCGACAGCGTCAGCAGAGATGTCCCTGGACTCGACGTATCGCGGAGATGGCGCTCGAGGCGGACGATATCAAGTTCAGCTCCGAGGTACTGGCGGGTTGCTGGGTGAAATACGTCGGTTTGTTGAGGAAGTATGAGGGGCTGGGGCAGCGGCGGGTGAGTGGGCTTATCGAGGATCGCGGGAGTCGGCAGCGGCAGAGGAGCAGGGCTGATGTTGAGGTTGAGGTTCCTAGGTTGGACAAGGGCAAGCCGTTTCGGTATGTTTCGCGGGAGAGCTGGGTTCGGGAGAAGCGTGTTACTGAGGGGGAGCGGAGGGGGGATCGCGAGTGTTGTCGGGAGTATACGAAGGGGTATGGTAGACCGGAGGCGAATACGGGGCGACGTCGGTCGGTGAGGTTTGCGGATGAGGTTGGTGGTGGGAAGGGTTACTTTAACGAAGGCGGGCGGAGTCGGAGGTGGTCGATGTACTAGATTGCTGTTCCGTCTTTCCCCTGAGCTGCGACAGGAGGGTTAATGGTTCACGATATCCAAGGCGTGGGCGCCGGGTAGAGTAGACATCGCTTCATTAAGTTTTGCGTCGAGATGATCTAAATGCTATATGCTCGCAAATGTACCGCCCAATGCATGCCCAAGACTCCGAGCTCGCTAATACGGGGTTTCCCAATACCACTGTTGACCCTAAAAAAAGAAACATACTTCCTCGCCGACGTCTAATAGACGAGCTTGAATTCGACATCCGACTTGATGGCCTTCAGAGTCTCCGGTATCGGTAGTGGATCGTAGAAAGGGTTCGGACGGAAAGTCACCTCTTTCAACTTGGGTAAGATGGCCTTGCTTTCAAAAACAAGCCTATACAAAGCGTCCTGTAGGCCCTTTTCGTAGACTGCGCGTTCCTTTGCGGATAGTTGGTCGACCTCGACATCATGCCACAATTCCGCCAAGTCCAGAACCTCAACCGTCGGCGGCAGTCGCTGGATTATGTCAATCTTCTCGACCCACTGCGGCTTTCCGTACAAGATTCCTATATCGAGTTTGACGTTGCGCAGCGACTTCATCTTGGGAAGTATCGTGAGTGTGCCGTCTCCCCCAACGTGTTGCGAGAAATTGCCCGCCAAGATACCCTCAAACGAAAAGGTCTCCAGAGTATCTGCCACCAGAGACAAAGCCGTATTCAGGTTGTGCTCACCATCGGCAGGCTGTTCAGCAACGCCGCTGGGACCCATTTCAAGGAGCTTGAGATTGGGACAAAGGGCGCATATTGCGTGCCATCCTTGGCCCCACATGCTGCTCCGAACAAGTCGGAGTTCCTCGACATTCTTCCAGCTACCGTCGTCACCCCAACCATCGCCAGGCTCCAGAACGGCAGGGCGATACACGGCTGAGCCAAGTTCCACAGAGCGTAAATTGGGTAGGCGCAAAAGGCATGGCAATTCGCGACGTGGCCAGAAGCTCGCGCCGGGAAAGTCCGGCATCGGCTCGAGCATGACGCGGGTGAGGGAGCTCAGAACGCGCGGGCAGCCCTCGGCGGTCTCGATATCGGGGGTGAGAATGGCTTTGAGCTTCTGGTACTCTCCGGCGGCGAAAGGCATGCGCATATGCAAGGTGCGCAAATTCGGTGACGAGTAGAGGATGAGCGCGAAGACAATCTGGGCAAATTCGAGCTCGGTCTGGGCGTCACGCACAAACGTCTTGATGCGCTCCGGAAATCGGGGCGAGGCTTCCACGAGGCGACGCCATTCGGTGCGTTTGTACGGGCAGAGGACGTCCGTCGGATAGTGATCGGTGCCTAAGCAGGAGACGTAAGAGAGGATGCGCATGTTATCGCCCAGCTCTGGGCGTTCGAGCAGAGTCTGGAGGAGTGACTGAAGCCGTGTCTGACCCCATAGATAGACTGTCTGGTAGAGGAAAGGTATTGCCAGGTCCGAGAGCCGGCGACACACGAACGCGAGGCGGTAAAGGGCGACGCGGTTGGTGACAACGACGCCATCTGGGTCGGTGTAGGCCTGGAATGGTATGTCGAGGCCATCCAGCGGCGGTGTCAAGTGGCCAACGATTTGAAGCAGAACCTCATCGGGGAGAGAAAGTAACGACAAGGACGAAGCCATTGTGTGTGAGAGTGAGCCGGTGGACAGTCAGGTGGGTGAGTGAGTGAGAAATTAGGAGTCGTCGTCAAATTGAAGGGAGAGGTGAAAAGGTGAGGGAGATATTAGATCTTGATTAGGCGGGGTTATATGCCGGAGTGAGACAGCGTTGAAGTCTGTGACCGGACGAGAAAAGTTCTAGACGAGACGAAAGAAAAGAAAGACAGATAGAGAGACGTGTGCCCAGGCCTGTCTCAACCAACAGGTAGTTGGCGGGGGAGGCTGAGCAAGATGCAAGCGAGATGGTGACCTTATGTAAAGCAGTCACTTTACTTGGCGGAGCGACAGCGACAGCGACACATGCCAGCGAGGTTAAGGTAGATGGGCACGCAGGGTTTGACGAGGGAGAGAGAAGGGGGTGCGCGCGCTTGAAGAGGGCTTGCAGCCTGCAGGAGGAGAAAACCGAGAAGAAGAGGAGGAATTTAGATGAGACGGGCGCGTGGCGTAGCAAGATTCCCCCAGGTTTTCCGCTCCGATGCACTCCACCAAGAACCCACCGTGTCAGGGACTCCCAGGCTTCAAGAGTCTCCGACAACGAAGGGGCCCCCTTTTGACGATCCGGATGCGGCGAGTGGAGGGGGTTTGGTAACTTGGTTCAGTCTGCGAGATGCGGATGCGGATGGGGAAAAGGTGTGAAGGAAAGGTGAGATACTGGTAAGCAATAGGAAAAGATGGACCTGGGGTGTCATGGGGATTTGGGTGTGGGCGGAATCCCATCTTATTGACTGCTGCTGTCCCGAGGTCCTTGTCGTCCAGATGCGCGGCAGAATACGTACATACATGCATACGTCCAGTAATTACCTTATTACTTTACTGCTCTGTGGGGTTCGTGCGTCTGCGTATGCGCTGGAAAAAATTGGAATGCCATGTATCTCGGACGAGTTTCGAGAAGGCCGATGAAGCTTCCCAGGTTCGAAGACCACCCCCATCGTGGAACAAGTCCTCAAGGTGAAGACACCAGCAGTACCAAACCAGCCTGGTACTTGCAATACCTAGTAACGGGGACGGCGGTGGTATCGGAGGAATGACGTTGCCGGAAGCGCACCCGTTCCTCGGCGATCATTGAGCTGTCTGGAGGCTTGGCTGTAACTACCCTGGATTTGGCGTGGACGTGGGCGAGGTTGGGTGACAACGCATGGTCTGCAAACGAACCGATCGGGACGCCAGGGCCGAAGGGTAAACTGTCTTGTTGATTAACCACTTGGTAAAGTCGATGGTCGGCGAGGACACATTGGATGAAATAGCGTCGCAGCCGTGGTCAGTGAGGAATTTGAAGCGACAGAGAGCACAGAGGAAGAGAAGATAGACAGACCTTCACCTGAGCTGCCCGAGGTGAGAGAGGTGAAAAATTAAAAAAAGGATAAAAGAGTGGGGCCCCTGGATGGAGGGGTATCCTAATTGGGGATAGTGTAGATACGTACATATGGGATCCATCATCGGAGGGCTGCAAGCGAATGGTTGGCAGATCCCCGCGCCGCCTCCCTTCCGCCCCTTGACGCTGCCGTCCCTCACCCAACACGTCCACACATCCTCCATCCAAGCTGACTGACATCAACTCCCAATTTTTGACTCGGTCTTCTTCAGACTTTGTTTCTCCACCGCCTCGACCAGGAGTTGGAGATGGTTGCAGTTGCGTCCAATGTGGAAAGGGCATTGCTTCAATGACAGGTTTGGCAGTTTGATGCTGTCTTTTTTGGTGGCTTGGCACCTTGGCTACCTTGGGACTAACACACTGCAGTGCGGATACTCTATACTTACACCGCAATTACCTGCCCATCCCGACTGCCTTTTGGCTTGAATTGTCGACAGGAAAAGCTTGCCAGATGGAAACACGGCGGTCACGAGGGCCAGACCACATAGCAGTGCGAGCGGTTTGGTTATGGGAAATGATCCAATTTATCACGCTATGGCAGATCCGGATCGACGTGTTTGTTTGCAATCTGGCCAGGTTATGCATGTCTTGGCATCTCCCTTCTCGTGCTGTCAACTTCCATTGCTAATATCTACCTATTCATGCAGGTAAATTCCAGTTCTTCATTGACCGTTGGAATGTAAAATTCAAAGCCTCAAGGCAATGCCAACAATCCTTTGTTCCCGGCACTCGATCATACCGCTGGCCTCCCTGCTTACCTAAGGCCAAACGGAGACTCGACACCTGGCCCCACAGCTCGCGTGACTCTGAGCCTCAGGCATATAAACGTTTTCCCCAGGCATCCAACTCCCGAACGCCTGCGTCCGCCTGCTTGCGGATGTCTGTCTCCCACTCCCACTTAGTCGCTTCCGCTCCCGCAGACGCACCAAATTCGCCTTCTCCAACAGGGGCTCCCCAGTCATTGCGAACAGGACGGTTCCTCGATGCCAAAGAGATCACACCACTTTCCGGGGCCTTACGGATCTCCTCCGTCAGGGATCCCACGCTTAAAACGTGGTCGACACCATTGACCCCCTACGGAGTAATCCAGGGTCTCTCCCGAGTCCTAGGTGCCCACTGTTCCGTCGGTCTGGATTCGCTTTCAAGACGACTACATGACATCGCCGCCTACCTTATTCAATGCCATGTCTCTTCAACGTCGTGTCGAGGGCAGAGTACACGTAGACGACTCACACCGTGCAGCCACAAGACCTGCCCGCCGGCTACCTAGGATTCCTCGTTTTCCCGACTGCTCACGCTGCGGTCCATGTGTCGTTGTGAAACTTGGGACCAGCTGATTCCAAGACAGAAGCTTGTTTTTCGTCTCCTCGTCGCCGTCTGGGACGAAAGTCTCCCAGACGAGCCCGCGCTTGGATAGCAAGGCATTGTTCGGCATGCTCTCCCCCCCTCAGAGGTTTATCTGAAGCCGAACTCACACAACCCGAAGAATGTTGCTCATTCCCAGCCCACTCTACTTGCGGAGTCTCGTCGGAAAACATCCATAAAGCATCCTGTGTGCCAGAGCAGCCCCGGCAAAGGACAACCTGGAAAGCTATGAAGCTGGTCTAGTTGACTCAGGCCTCGGGCTGCCTTACCTAGCTTCCGATTCTGGGCAGAACTTGGCTGAGTAGCCAATTCACATCAGGGACCATCTTTGACACCTTCACGATGGCCCATCGTTGCCGGCAACTCTATCCAAAGTTTAGAGGGAACGGTGCTCAGACCCGAATAGTTTTCAACTTGCAATCGCTTTCACTCCGCTGTGAGCCACTAGCTACGGAGGCTTCTTCACCATCTTCATCGCGATTGCTTCACCATTGCTATTCCTACAGAAGTCTGCAGGTTTTAAAAACGAGTCTGCTTGTTATGTCAGTGTGTTGAAGCTGGTCAATACTATGACAACATACCTTCAGTACGACTGAACTACATTGCAGCAAGCCTGACGAACGATGCCCCAGCTCAATCTATCAGTCAGCCTTAGGTTCCCAAACCATCAGTCTCTTGTTCGGAGTATTGCGCCGACTCAGGCTCATCGCTACCGCTCACCCTATCCATGGACACCACAAGTCGTTTCCGTAGCCTCGATGGATTGTACCGGATGGGTCTCGGGGCTTCGTCATCCTCCGATTCACTGCTACTGCTCTCTTCGTTGCTGGAGCTCTCATCTCGCGAACGTTTACTGCCGCATACCGAGTACACCGACTGGCCCCGAGACTTTCGTCTCCCTGGACGTGTTCCCCCTCCACGCTCTTTGCACAGAATGGCAACTACAGTCGGCACGCTTCCGCTCCCAAGGTCCCTCAGAATACCCAGCGCTTCCTCTTCCGTGCGGCCTTGATCCAGTAGCCCCTTCACCTTGTCCCAAAAGGCCTTTCGACGAGTGAACCACGAACGCCCATATGTGCCGTTTCGCCACTTGGCCCGGTACATCTTCTCTAGCAATTCGACGGGCTTCTGGCCGTGGAGACCGTATTTATATTCTGCCCACTGCTCTTCGACTGTCGCTGGGTGCGGATAGAACTTGAATATTGGCTGCATAACTCCATCCTTGCCAACGACGGTCAGTGGGCTGAAGTACTTCGGGTCATCGTACGGGTTGACAGGGTCTCTTGGGGATAGCAGGTTTTGTCGAGACGCTTTACGGCGAACAACAGCTTCATTGGCAGCAATGTCTGTGACTTGCTCAGCTTCGGGGGTTCTGGGGTCCAGTGCTCCCGGCTCCACCTCCAACACCTCCCTCGGGTGGTATCTGCTGTCATCGATATCGGCATTCTCTCTCCTCGTTTTCTTCAAAGGCTGATTCGCACGTCGGTTCAACGCAACTGCCCGCGGCCTGGACGCTTTCTTACCAGTGCTTCTTCTCACCACCGGTAGCGACGTCCGAGAGGCCGTTGGTCGTGACGCTTGACTCTCATGGGGTATCTGAAGCCTGGCTATCCGAACTTTGGACGCCACTGTGATAGATTGCTGTTCTGGTAGCGGCAGATCACATCTTTCACAGGGCACTGGTGGCGTTGGAGATGGCGATGGAGGAGCTGCACCTCTACCATGGCTCTCTTTACCGCTGTCTTGCTGCGCGCAATCTCTCACTGCCAGATCTAGTGGATCGACTCCAAAAACTTCCTACTAACAGTCAGCAAATCCTAGGCAATAGCTGATATCACCTCAAAGACGACTAAGTGAACCAGCTAGGCCGTCGTAGAGATAGACGGGTACGAGAGAAAACTTACCTTAACGACTGAGGTCAAGACGTTGAGCTGCTTTTCCAACCTCCTATTGACTTGGTCTACATGCAAAGCCATCTCTCGATCTGTTGCTTCTTGTCGCGCCTGCAACTCCCGGACTTCTTTTGTGTACTCGTGCTGTAGTCCAATGACTATTTGAGCGAACCCTTCCTCATCTGGAGGCCCAGTAGCCGACGGTGCAGCTACAATTTCTGATTCTGGTTCATCCTCGCTATCCGAATAGTCGACCAGCCGTGCTTGGCTCAGTGCCTTCATGTTTAGCCGTAGTGAGTTGATAGTTTTCTCGGTTGAAGTCTTTTATGACTAATGTGCTCGAACGTGGATCTTGTGGAATGCTATCTAGACGGAAACCCCTGGCCCGGTGAGACGTACGGACGCCAACATTTATTCTCGGATCGCGTACTTCTCGGGTGCCACGAAGACGCAGGGGATTAAAGACCAAGTTCGAGGGCAGCGGTCATTCCGCCCGGGCATACTCTTTCGTGTGCCTGGTTTCTTTGTCTACGTTTGAGTATGGGTTTGGCCATGTGCAACCACAATCGCCATTGTGCAATCACCCCTCGAACCTCAAATCGCCCCGTGCACTTTCCTGCAAGCAAGACGATTCGAACTCCGTGGCCTGAGTGGCTGAAGGAGAATAGAGCTGCAGTTGGGAATGATATCCTCTTCGACACTGTACTCAAGGGCTTGTTGTGGCGGAACAATATTAACCTCTACCATTACTGTTGTGCAACACGAAGTTCGCCAGGGTCGACGGAGCCGAGGAATGAAACGTCACGAGAAGGGAAGATGAATGGGTTGGATGGTTTACTTGCTAACGGACCTAACGATTCATCTACAGATCTGATAATTGCTACTTTCGCATCTATGTACCATCCGTCCTCCTACCACTGATCCGACAGCCAGTTTGATAGCTGAACATCCGCCATCTTGCGAGCAAGGAAGACTACTGATTTGACTCTGAACAATAGAAAACGGATTTGGCGACATCTTTCAACATCACCGCTCTGTCCTCATACATCACCCCAGCACCGAGAAGGCTTTCTCTGCCGGCAAGTCCCTTGAGCTGAAGCCGACCCGGAACGTGAACTCGCCATCCGGAATCACCCACACCTTGTCCGACGCGTTCCACAAACTGACATCCCGCCTCATTAGCCGGAACTCCACTTCGGCTGAGCCGCCTGCCTCGATCTGAATCTTTTCAAAGCCCCTTAGAACCTTCTTTGGCGTGCCTTTTGGCGCGGACGCCGGGAAGGAGGCGTAGAGCTGCGGGACGGCAAATGCAGTCCTATTCCCTGTGTTCGAGATCGACGCCTTGACGCTGATCAGATCCTCCCATAGCTGCGGATGACCGCCGGGTTGGATCGGGATTGCCGTGTCCGGACGAGCAGCGATGGACGAGTTCCCTCCGATAAAGCTCACGCCGATCTGGTTGTCGACCACGGCGAACGTCGTGTACGTCAGCCCGAAACCAAACTCATACAACGGCTTAATGTCAAGCGCGTCGTAGTGGCGGTAGTCAATCATCTGGCCCTCGGTGAAATCAGCCTGCCACGCAAGCGGGTCAACGACAGGTTGCGTGAGATTCACAATCGCCGGGCCGGCATCCTCCTCGTTGCGCGGGACGGTATACGGCAGCCTCCCCGAAGGCGCGATGTCGCCCCAGAGAAGATCGGCGATGGAGTTGCCGCTCTCCTGGCCAGGGTAATGCGCCGCCAGGATCGCGCCAATCTTGGTGTGGTTTGCCCACGGCATGGTATTTACGCCGCCCGAGTGGGTCACCACGACCGTCGTCTCGCAGAAGTCCGCCACGTTGTTGATCACGGCCGTAGAGTTCCCGTCGAGCTCAAACGACGTGCGATCGAAGCTCTCGCTGGCAAAGGTCTGCTGGAACACGAGGCAGACTTCGGGCGGGGGGTATACACCCCGGAAGTCATTGGCCGCGAGGACGTCGTTGTTGGTCACGTAGAGGACTTCCGCGCCGTACTCTGCCGCTTTGGCGCGGACGGCGGCGAGGGGGGAGATTACGTAGGATGGGCGCCCTGTACCGGAGCCACCGCCGATAATCATTGTGCCCGTATTGGTGTCCTCGGGGACTTCGGAGGGACGGAGGAAGCCGTTTGTCATCTCGCCCGCGTCGTTGCCGAAGACGCCGATGATCTTGGGGTTCGACAGGGGTAAGGTCTGGTTCACGTTCTTGAGGAGGACTGTGCCGGCGGAGCCCATTTCGCGGATGAGCTTCGCGTGGTCGCCACGGACGTCGCGGCCGTGGGTGAAGACGAAGTCGTCGGGGATGAAGCCCGTGTCTTTGGCAACTTGCAGACCGACTTCTTGGAACAGGGTCACGAAGCGGAGGGACGGGTCGGGTGAGGGGTAGGATTCTGCGTCTTGGCCTAGGAGGTAATACGGCGTCAGGATGTTACGAACCATGTCGTCAATGCGGGATTCTGTGACGGTGCCGTTGGCTACAGCCTCGAGGACCTTGTCGCCGAAGAAGGTCACTGCACCGGGGTAGTTCCCCGGCACAGCGCCCGGCATCTCGAGGTCGAGGCCGGCGTTGATAGAGTCCGCGGTAGAATGCGTCGCAAACCAATCCGACACCGTATACCCCTGAAACCCAAGCTCGTCTCTTAAGAGTTCCTTCAAGAGATGACTGTTCTCGCACGCGTACGTCTGGTTGAAGCGGTTATACGAGCACATGATGGACGTCGTGCCGGCTCTGATGGCGTTGGCGAACGGCCAGAGGTAGAGTTCGTGGATGGTCCTGTCGTCAACGTTGGACGAGATTGCCTCAATCGCTGTGCCGTTGGGCGAGGTCGGGAGCGTATTAGAGCGCTGGGTTTCCTGTTCGTTGGCGATGTAGTGCTTGGAGCAGGTCTGTACGCCAGTGGATTGCATGCCAGTGATTGTGTTCTCGATGGTGACGCCTGCTAGGTATGGGTCCGGGCCGAAGCCTTCCCAGTTGCGGCCGCCTAGGGCTGCGCGACCCATGGGGCCTGTTGAGGGACTGTTGTAGAACTAGTGTTAATACATACCTAATCATGGTATGACTTGGTTTTCAACGAGAAAGAATGATGAAGCTGAACGTACCCGAGAATCACATGCCCGCCCTTCCCCTTAAACTCCTCCGCAAGCGCAACGCCCCGACGATAAATCATATCACGATCCCATGTCGCGGCAGCGGTTATACCCGAAGGGAAAACGCTGACGAGGTCGGCGCGGTTGACGGCGCTGGGTCCGTCGAGCATGCAGATTCCCTTGAAGCCGAGGCGGGGGATGGGTGCGATGACGCCGATGCAGTTGCCTGCGGAGGAGTTTCCTGCAATCATGGAGACCTTTTCTTCGAGGGTGAGGTGGGATAGGAGGGTGTTGGCTAGGGTGAGGGCTGTGACTCTGTCTCTGGTGCCTTATCGTGAGGTTAGCGATGAAGAAACTTGAGGTGTATCTGAGGAAAGAATGTTAAGTGTGGAGGGTGAGGTACGAACCATTATTGGAGGATCGGTGGTGGATTTGGCTCGTTAGGCTGAGCTGGGCTCCGGCGAGGAGGAGGAGTGATGTCCACAGCATGATTGTCGATGATTCCGGTGACAGTTATTCAAAGCAGGATACACCTCAAAGCTTGATGTTTCCATGGCCGTGAATTTCCCTGCCCCGTCTAGGGGATCTGAAGTCAGCGCATTTATACTCGTCAGATACTCTCTCTAATATACTGAGGATAAGATCTACGAGCCTCGGTTACTCTTACCAAAGAGGATACTCGGCCAAGCAGTCGTCGTCTGGTGATCTGTGTGTGTAAGTAGCAAGGTACGCAACGTTAGTCGAAGGATTACGAGGTTAACGACACATCAATATCGGGCCGACGCATTTTGGACTAGGATACAGATCGACCGTACAGAGAACAAGGCGGGGAAAGCTCTTCATAGTGACACTCGGTATTTCGGGGTAGTAATCAAGTCGTAGTTTGACTCGTCGAGCAGCTTAGTCAAGGGGGCGACTAGAGCTCCGAAGCCATCATTCTGGTGACTGCGACGCAACTGCTGAAGAAGAACCTTTGTTTCCCCATTTTGCATCCTAATCTCTTTCTCAAACCAGAATGAGATTGGCTTTTGCGAGAGGCCAGTAAAGATTCAATGCGCAACGACGAGCTGTCAAAACATGTAGTCGACTTTCCCGTAGGAAGCTCAACTTGAGATTACGGAAAATGTAGCAGCAATTGAGCTCACCACCTGACATCATCCTTTCGCTAGCTCAAAATCCCCAGGTACGAATACTCGGATCAAAAGTGACAAACTCTGCATAGGCCCGGCATATGGCTCGACATTTTCACGGTTCCTCCAATGCCTCACCAAGCTTGCGCCGTCACCACCCGCGTATTTGGGAAAGCGGCGCAATCACAGACCTATACGCGTATCTGCTGAGCCTAAACATCCGGAGCCAAGAATCCATGTAACCACAGCACATCATTTTTGAGGGGTAGGCCCATGTTTCCCCGCATGTCATCCCGCAGTTCATCTCTTTCGTTGGGTTGTGCCGTCTGGGGGAAAAGTCTGGAGATTTGAAGGTATGGCGTAACTGATGGGCTGAGTTGGGGTCGGACTGGCAGTTTGAGTGGTGGTTTAAACGGTCGCGGATATCAGAGTAAGATAGCTTCTAGTGATAATTGGTTCATTTTCTCTGTTAATGAGAATTGAGATTCAATGGCTAATCAATAGCTCCGCTTATCTAGTAATACTAGCATGTTGGCTCTTGTCATACTCTGTTGATCGTAAACAGAAAGCACATTCGGTTGAAGAGCATCGCGAGACTTGCTTGCGGTGACGGTAACGGTATGCCTCTCCCCCCATGAAAGAAGTATTCCCGATAATGGCTGTTAAATCAACGTGAGGGCGGGAGCCATTTCTAAATCTAGACCTAAGGGTCTATGATTCCGGTATAACTGTAGGCTAATAGTTCTTGCAAGCACCTAGGGAAGATGAGGATCTGCTTGATTGGTCTAATGGGTTACATGCCCCAGAGAACGTATTCGTTAAACATACGAAGATGTGGGGGACTGAACTTGGAGGCGGGTTCCCCAGACTATCCGCTGGGAAAGGCCCGATTCCCCTGCATTGCCTATCATGTCAGGCTTTTAGTTCACGCTAGACGTTACATACGATAGCACTCCAGAGGAGGTAGAGTGGGTAGATGGCTCAGAAATCAAGAAGCGAGGATAGCAGGTAATCAAATCTAGAACATTTAAAAACGGCAAGCAGCTG